TCTATTTGCTCAATTGATAACACACGTAAAGTAGAAATATCAAAATACTTAAAACAAAGTTACATATAAATAAACTAAAATATTAAGCAAAATATTCAAACAAGTAATGATCAATCATGTCTCTCTTTCCAACTTCTCCTTGCAAGGTCTTCTTCCTCATTCCACAATTAGATATGACTTTCTTTTTCCTACGAAAAGTAAACAATCAATAATTATATTTACTTAAAAAAATACTTTAAAAACTAAAAGGTAATCAACACTAATATGTAAATTACCTTATTATCATCATCATCATCATCATCCATATCTTCATCCACACATTCGAATTGAGTCAACGTTTTTGAATAACCTAAGAAACAAATAGCTAAATTAAAATTTAAAAATCCTTTTCAATTAATCTTGTAAAAGATAAAAATATATTACCTTTTATATCTTTTCGGATCCAATCTTGAGTGCACATCAAAGCCTCTAAAGTGTCTTCCTTCAACCTACTACGTTGTTGACTTAAAACACGACCACTAGTACTAAAGGCGAACTCTGAAGCAACGGTAGAGATATGAATTGCTAAAAAGTCCCTTGCAATCTTTTGCAAAGTTGGAAATTTCAAACCATTTTGTTTCCACCATCCTAAGATGTCAAAATTTTCCTTTTTTTGTTTATCAAGCAAGACACCATCTTCCAAGTAGGAAGTAAATTCTGACTTGACATTTGTAGTTGAAGTATTTTCCATCACATATTTCGAATAAGCCTTCTCCCAATCTTGACTTGTGACATCAATGTCATCTACCAATGTTGATGCACCAACTTCACTACTTGTAGGAACCATATCATTATTTGGTTGATATTCTTCAACTAAATCTTCACACATTTGTATTACCTTTTCCAATTCTTTGGGAGCATTATTCCCATACATAAGTGGGAAGAAGTAATTCAACAAAGTTATTTTATATCTAGGATCCAAAACAGCCCCTATTGCCATCACCCCATTAATCAAACTCCAATATTTGTCAAACTTCACTATCATACTTCTTGCCATACTTTGTATAGTATCACTAGAAGAATCTTCCCACTTTCTTAAAGCTAATCTTATTTGACAAACTTTGGGAAAATAAATGTTTGATGTTGGATACTTAGTACCCGAGAACAACTCAGTGACACTAAAAAATAATTTCAACTTGTCACAAATTTCTCTTGCCATTTTCCAATCTTCTTCACTTGGTGCACACTTATATTGGGAATCACGGCGTTGTTTTAAACGTTTAAAAACTTGTTCGTAAGGCAATGCAGAAGCAAGCATTAAATAAGTAGAGTTCCATCTTGTTCTACAATCTTGTGCAAGCTTCTTTTCATAAGTCATGTTCAATTGATTACAAGTTTCTTTAAATTTCTCCTCCCTCTTTGGTGTTGCTACCCAAAAACCGACACTTTCCCTAATCTTTTCAATTGAACTAGAAATTGTTTGCATGCCATCTTTCACTATCAAGTTTAATATGTGGGCGCAACAACGCATATGAAACAATTTCCCTTTTAAAATAAAAGAAGAAGGTGACATCTTATCAATCAAATGGTCAATCAGAGCATCATTGGTGCTACAATTATCAACGGTTAATGTTGACAATTTTCTATCAATATTCCAATCCATCAAACAATCTACCAAAAAATCACAAATGACCTCAGCAGTATGTGGCGTAGGGACATAAATGAACCTAAAAATAAATTATAATAAATATCACATAAAATAACTATATTATAATAATAACGTAAATGGAAGGGAGAAGTTACCTGATGATCCGATTCTGCAAAATCCAATTTTCATCAATGTAATGAGCTGTAACAGACATATATCCTTTGTTCTGGTTGCTAGCAGTCCACATATCAGTAGTTATTGCAATGCGGCTTTTATTCTTTGCAAGTATTTTCATTTGCTTTGACTTCTCACTTTCATACAACTTCATTATATCATTCTTCATGGTGTTGCGAGAAACTATCTTGAACAAAGGTTGAAGAGAATGGCTATAATTTCTAAAACCAATATGGTTAACCATCATGATGGGATATTCATGCAATATAATCATCTTCGCGAGTTCATTCCTAGAAACATCTTGATTAAATGTATAATTTCCAACCACAAATGATTCATGTCTGTTTCCGGATTTTTTTTCTGTCACTTTAAGCATGGCTTGTTTTGGACCTCTCTCTGTGCGTTTTGGACATATGCTAATATGATCAAATAAATGTTTAGTACCATTTTTTGTATCACCACCAATTTTCTTATCACAAGATTTGCATATAGCCTTCCAAATGCCTCCTATTTTTTGGCTTTTAAAATAGGGTCAAGCATCTGATTTTAATCCCCTTTTGTTAGGACTTGTAGTGGGTTCAACGGGAGCTTCAGGATCTTGATTTTCTATATTTATTTCATTTGGAGTAGATTGAACTTCCTGTGTGAGTGAAACTCCACTACTTTCTATAGGAACTTCATTCCCTTCCAAAGCAACATTAGGACTATTAGATGATTGAACTTCACCAACCATTCTTTTACCAAAAACCTGGCACACACAAACACAAATTTTAAAAGGCTACATGGAAGTAGAACAAAAATAATAAATATATGAAAAAATAATAAATAAATGAAATAGTAAATACATGAAATTCACAAAAAAAATAATTAATAAGAAAAATCTTATATTTCTAAATATATGATGCATTACACATATTTCTAAATATGCCTTATTTACTGTAACTTTTCAATTAGAAATAATAACATATATTAATTAATTATATACATTGAGAATACATTTATTTACCTATATACATGATATATTTACTCGTGTAAAAAGTTATATGTTATTATTTCACTTAATGGCTTTGGTTTTATAATTAGAAATATAAGATATATATATTTTTTTATGGGTGATAACATGATATATTATTGTTTATATGTTATTATTTCATTAATAATTAGAAATATAAGATATTTGGTTTTTTTTATGGGTGATACCGTGATAGCATGATATATTGATTCATTTAAAAAGTAATATTTTTTTGTTTAATATAGAAAATTAAATTATAGTGTGATATATTAATAAAAAATAGGAAAAGTATATTTTAATATTTTTTAAGGAAAAACTGACGACATTATTTTAATTACAAATGCATAGTATAGATAAAAAATGAACACAAAAATATTTAAAAGGAGATAAAAATGAGTAATTTTTTTATTATTTTATATTTTTTTAATATGCAAATGATTTGATAACTCTAAAATTTCTAAACAATTTAATTTAAATTTAATCAAAATAATCAACTTTTCCTATAAGCAATTACATGAACAGGTTTATGAGAATCAAGGAGAAACAATCTACTTTTTTCTATAAACAATAATATAAACAGATTTATGAGAATCAAAGAGAAATAATCTATTTTTTCCTATAAATAATTACATGAACAAATTTATGAAAATCAAACCTTATTGATGAAATTGTAAGAGCTGTGAATAATGGAAGCACACCAAATAGAGAAGATGGAATTGGAAGAGGAAGATGAATGGAGATTTGACTGGAGAAGAAAAAAAGGAGTCTAACGTGTGAGACTCTAAATGTCTGGCAGAAGAAAATGAAACGCTTTAACTTTTTTAGGGTCTAATATTTACATTTCTCTCTCTTAATAAATACATGAATATTTATTTATTTATTTTTATAAATAAACATAAAGGAAATGACTAAAAAACCTAATCTAAAATATATATATTAAATTAACTATATTAAAATAATAGGCGGGGCGGGGTCCCCGCGGGGCGGGGGGTGTATTCCCCGTCCCCGTCCCCGAAATGCTCTCGGGGGAATTTTTCTCCCCATCCCCGCCCCCACGGGGGAAAATTCCCCATCTTTGGGGCCCCGAACGGGGCGTTCCCCGCGGGGATCCCCATTAACAGGTCCAAACTGACATCCCTACTGACAGTCATATCTGCTGCATTTAATTAGATGAATCAGTCGTATTTGTTACATTCAGTTAGATGAATCAGTAATATCTACTGCATTCAATTAGATGAATCAGTCATATCTACTACATTTAATTAGATGAATCAGTTACATCGCCCTGATCTCCTGCTTCTCTCCCTCTATTTCTACGCTTTCTGGTATAAACTATACAAACATGAGTTTGAATGTACTAATGCAATGACTTGAGTTTGAATGTACTAATGTAATGACTTGAGTTTGATGCTTATAATGGAAAAAATTAAGTATTCGAGGAGACCGAACAAATAAGTTAGAAATGAGAGGGAGATACATCTCCAATTAATCTCAGAAAAATTCAAAGATGTATCTCTAAATTAAATTTTTTTTAAAAATGAGATTTGGTGCGAAGATGTATCTCTAAATAAATTCAAAAATATTTTAAAATTTTCAAAAGTGCGTCAATATTCTATAAGGGTTCAAAGAAAATTTCCCTTATAAAATAACCCTAAGATTGCATATAACTTTCTTGTTAAGGGATTTCCTTACTTACATAACGTAATAGTGTATTGCTCTAGAGTGAAGTTTCAAATCCTTCAACCAACTAGGATACTGCTAATTTCATCCACAAGATTAAACAACTATTGTAGAATTATAAATACAATATGGTCACAACTATTTTGAATCCACTTTTATGAAATGTATGATAATGAGAAACATTTAAGTGCATGTTTAGAAAAATAGATAATCACGTTCAAAACGCATATACTCTTAGATGGAGTAGAGTAAACTTTTGGTATGCTGCATTGCATCTATGGAATGAGGCAAAACTGAACATATTATTGAACTAAAAATCATCCTTATAAACAAATTCACTCGTCTATCTTACAAAGTTGATGCTTATATTAAATCACAAGTATAATAAACAATTAAAACAAAAGTCTAAGATAACTGATTGTAGAATCAAGCTATTATCACAACTACTACGCCTCATGTTTCTGAAGCATGGTTCTGAAAAGAACATTGTGGCGAAAGTTGATCATCTTAAGTATCCCATATCATAACAACAGCTATAACTCCTATTCCCAACAACACTGCAAGAAACTTCATATACGGTGAATCGACCTTTGTATGCTTGTGAGCCACATAACCCTTTGAAAATAGATGGTTTATCGAAACATAAATAAACACACCACAAGCTAGGCCCATAGATATAGCGAAAATCCAATCAGCCACATTACCCTGTGTTGTGGAATCTAATACAATTCCAATGGCGACACCAATTGGACTAGAGATTGCGAAGGCGAAAGCATAGGCAGCGCATGATAGTAGAGGTCGATTAGGAACCATTCTAAGGAGCGCGATACCCATCGCAATCGCTGCAAATATCTTGTGCAAACAGATTGTCCATAAAGCTTTCCAAGCGTCTGCTTTTGTCTTGGAAACTCCGATTGCTAATCCCTCAAAAACAGAATGAGCACAAAGGGCGATTATGTATACATAAATGAATATGTATACGGTATCTTCAATTGAACTAGCAGATGTATGATCGCGATCATTGGTGCCAGCAGAACCCTGTTAGCACAGAAAAATAGAAACTACAGTTCAATAAGTGATGACAGGTCTAAAAAATTTATGACAGGTCTAAAAAATTTATGACTTTGTTCAGTAAATATGTAACCTGATATTGTGATTGAGAAGTAACACCATTGCCTCCTTTTTCTGCCTCTGCAATTTGCACCAAAATAAGTAGCTTTGTGTTAGATAATGAAAAGGATTTCATTTCAGCCGTTAGAAGATCTGTCATCTGATGGTTCATATATCGAGTTTCTATTATAAATTCGATTTGTTAAAATCGTAACACAAACATGACAACATTTGTGCAACTGTCATGACTACGGTGATTGCGGGAGAGTTTTCTACAACACAACTCAAACTCACATGATATGACTGCAAATACTAGAATTGGAGTTCCCGCAATCACGTATTCATCAAGACATGAATCTCGGTCGATTGATGAAAGATCCGATGATTCATATTTTGAGTCTTGTTTTAAAAAAGATTCGACAAAGTAAGATTACGAGCCATCTGATCATCATCCAACCATCCAGACGTGAAGACGGGGTTCTTAATCTAGGTCCACAAATATCATGTACAGCACAATCTTAAAAAAGTCTAACGTCAAGTCAACCAAAGATAGAAAAGTTATTTTAAAAATCAAATTGAATTGCATCATCACAAGACCCTATAACAAATTCAACAAAAACAAAACAACTTAAAGACTAAAAGACTAACATACAAACCCCATAATCACTTCATCCTTAAAACACAAACAACCTATTTAGATCGACTTATTTGAACTTATCTACCCGCATAAACACTTTTGAAACCACTAACCAGAGTTTACTGAAACAGCTTATAATTCAAGATAACTTATGAAAACAACTTATAATTATTTATTTATTTTTTGTTATAGAAATAACTTAATCCTTCATTCATATACAATATATAAAGCACTTTTAGTGTCAATGATGTAAAACATTTGACTTTACACAACTTGATGAAAATTAAACTCAATAGTTTAAAAATAAGCACTTACATAAGAGATTATCCTATAATCATTTAATTAAACAAACAGGACCAAATAAAGAAACAATTAAATATGAAAATCACTAACCTTGACCTTCAACGTCAGCAGCAGCACCATGAGGCTTCTCCAAAAGCGAAGAAATAACACAATCAGCAAGCATAGTAATCAAATAACCAGCACAAGCCAACATGAACGCAAAAGGGTATTCTTTATCAGTCAAATCACCAAACGTCTCATTTGCATCACTCAGAAAATGCATCAAAGCAGTTCCCAAAAACACTCCACCAGCAAACTGTGTCCCCAGAATCAAAAAACCTTCGTTCCATCTCAATACGTACGGAGATACACCGGCAATGAAAGTGGCGAAGAAGATCACTATTAAACACCAAACTTTTGCGAGGATTAAGGATTTTGAACGGAGGTTGGGGGGAGGTCCGGCGTCGGAGTCTGCGTCGGCGTCTCCGTCATCGTCGTGGACACTGTGGGCGGAGACAGAGAAGAAGAAGAGAAGGAAGAGACAAAATAAGAAGAGGGTGCGAATAGTAAAAGACATTGTAAGAAAAGAACAAACTGTGTTTGGTGTGGTGCGGATATCAAGGAGGGGTTTAAATAGAAAAAAAGAAAGAATCTTAATGAATCTAAAGAGTATACAACTCATATAGTAATAATAAATTTTTACATTTTTTATATATAATAATTTAGGTTGACAGAAGTTGGATAATTGTGCAGGATGGATGCACAAGTGTAATATTAATGAGTTGATTAAACGCAAAAAAGAATATTATTAGTGTAATTTTTTTTACAAGAGTCAAATTTGAGATTATCTTATTATTTATTTTTAGTTAATTTTAATTTTAAATCCAAATTGTTATTTATTTTATAAATTATTAATAAATTTAATGTTTGGTGAATTTTGATATGATTTCTAAATGTGTACTACAAATTTATGGAGAGTTATTGTGACAGAGACAAAATGTACTACATTGGTTTATTGGTGGGTGTAGTTGGTTGCAAGTTGCAAGTTGACAATTCCAACCCATTTGGAGAGAAAAGGTCTTTGTAGTTTGTACTACAAATTTTGTACATCCCACTTTGATTAGAGATCCTATCTATATCTAGGACTTATTTTGTGTGATGTGTAGTTTTGAAAAGAATAAAATGTAAAAGTGATCAAAATGAGAGTCTAATAACTCTAGAACACTTAATCAAAAGAATTTGGTGTCTATATTAATCACACATAATTTAATAATTTAATAAAAGATTAAATATGTTTTTAGTTTTTATAAATATTTTAAATTTTATTTTTAGTCTTTATTAAAATAATGATAAGTTTTAATTCTTACAAAATTATTATGTACGTTGAATGATTATTTTGTAGACATGTTTAGAACTTTATAAAAAATTCTTTGAAATTTTTTTTTTTAAAATTTAATTTTTAAATCGAGATTTTCATTATTTTTATCGGTATCTTTTGAAATTTAAAAATATTATATTTAATTTTTCTCATTTTAAAAAATTCTAAAATTTGATAAAGAAACATTTTATAGTATTCTAAACACGTACGGAAAATATTATTCAAAAATTTAAAAATTTAAGGGTAATTAAACAGTTTTTAAAATTTTAGAAAATGACACGGACTAAAACTGGATGAAAAAAAAAATTTTAGGGACCAAAATTTATCATTTTTTTAATAAGAATAAAAAATGAAATTTGTGATATTTATAAAGATCAAAAACATATTTAACCTTTTAATAAATAAAAATTTATTTAAATGAGTTTTAATTTTTAAATCATGCATAAATTAATTTGTAAATCAATTTTAAAAAATAATTATATATATATATATATATATATATATATATATATATATATATATATATATATATATATATATATATATATATATATATATATATATATATATATATATATATATATATATATATATATATATATATATATATATATATATATATATATATATATATATATATATATATATATATATATATATATATATATATATATATATATATATATATATATATATATATATATATATATATATATATATATATATATATATATATATATATATATATATATATATATATATATATATATATATATATATATAAAGTTGAAAAATATTATAAATTTGTCATTAATAAAAAGTGTATGATTTTGTCTTGTTTTTTCTTCTTTTTAATTTCCAAAATTAAAAACTAAAATCTCAAAAATTTATTTTACTTGTGATTTTTAAAACTCTTAAATGCATATAATTTTTAAAAATAATTTTATCAAATTAAATTACTAAACAAATTTTATTATTTTCAAATTTAAAAATTTAAAAACAGTTTTACAAAACCAAATCAAACAAACAAATTTATTAAAAAAAGAGTTCAATTGAACTTGGTACTATACTATGAATTGTTGTGCATTCTTTAAACCAATCGAGATATAACTATTAATATGGTGTAATATATCTCTTAGAATAGAAGGCTTTCAAAAATCAAAATTTTACTTCGTTTCTAGAATTTGAAACATATTTTTTTAAGTGTTTGAATTTTAAAATATGAATATGTCATTTAATTTATAAAAACTCTTCTCCCTCCCCTTATTTTCTTATGTTTCTATTTTCTTTCCTAAATTCGAAATCTTTTGCATTGCCTCATATTACTATAAGATAAAAAGGATATTGTGGCGGTTTTTTAGCTATTACGACACTTTAAACGCCACAATACTTGAGTTGCGACTATTTCTCAACCGTTGCAAAATCGTGTTGCTAGTTGGAAAATTGTCACTCCAACCTCCTTTATTCAACCGTTACAAAAACGTGTCGCTAGCATGTTCTGCGACTGTTTGGTAAATCGTTGCTCTAACCTTCTTTAATGCTTGCGATTAGAGATGGCAAAAAAATTCGTACTCACGAATAAAATTCTCCACGGATATGGAATGGGTAGATTAAAGGATATTCGTGGATAAAATAAATAAATATTTAAATACTAGTTGTTTAATGGTTGCGAATGCGAATTTGATGATATTCATGTCTATGAATATCCATATCCGTTAATAAATTATAAAAAATTATTTAAATATACTTAGTTTATTATAATCTATCTTTTCATCTTCTAAAAAATAATAATTTTCTCATTTTTTTTAATGTTTTCTTTAGAGAAAATCTTTCACATTCCATACAAGATCTTATTTGGCCATTTCATATTTAAGTTTCTTCTATACTCAAGACTTTACTTCAACAATTCTCCGTCCAACCAATCAGTATCAGTCTTCCTCCGTTCTACCATTGCCTCCCTTCCTACTCATCTGTTGTCTGATCTTCTACCATAATTACAATCACAATTTTTTTCATTTGTTTTGGTTAAAAATAAAATGTATGGCTATTATGTTTGAATGTTATCATGTTTTGTTGAAAAAGAAAGAAATTAATGTATGAAATTTTGCTGTTAAATTTAGAATGAATTGTATGAATGTTATGTGATAATAACTTTGTGTCTTTAATAGAAGATGAAAATATTTTTTTCAAAAAATAATTTTAGAAAAAAAATGTTATTCATGGATATCTATAAACATTCGTGAATACCCGCACGAATATGAAGTGGATACAGATATCATATTTATCCGACAGAATACATGAATATCATACTATTTTTTCTATGGATATCTATTTACATTCCTATTTGCGATAGTTTTGGAACTGTCTTAAAAACATAGTTGCGATGAGTTTAACCGCCATTAATTTTATTTGATGTTTTATTACTACTACAAATCCACAAGCGAAATTACAAGTATTTTCGCAGGTAAGTCTGATGTTTTGATATTACTACAAATTCACAAGTAAAATCGCATGTATTTCTGCAGATAAATTCATAAAAAAAATTATAATATGCAAAGTAGTCTAAGCTAATATATTTCTATAATTAAAAAAAATTATATTTATTTTTTAAATGTAAAAAAAATCCTACAAAGAATCATGTCACCATCTTCACAATGCTTGACTACAAACTAAAACTTTTCAATATCATCGCATTAAGTCACACAAAAAAAAAAGAATTTATAAGTAGGCATAACCAAACCACTCCATCATAATCAACTACACATAACAAAAATACATTATTTATGAGTTAAACAAGAATACACATTTTTCAAGAGAAAGACTTCAAATGACCATACGAAAGTACAATAATCTTATCTTTCAAAAATCTACACATTTTTACATATAACTATCATTCTAGAGTAACTCACAAGTTCCATGAAAAATCTAAATTATAAGAAGCAACAACCTCAATTTCAGCAGTACCGACAAAAGCATTGCCTAAACTTCAATGTTATAGTCTTACTCTCTTTGATCCTATTTATATAAAAAAATTACTTTTTAGATTTATTGAATAGAGAATGTATTTAGTCTTTATTTTGTCCAGATACATTAGTTATTTGATGTATCTAAAAAGTTAATTTTTTTCTTATAAATATGATCAGAGATAATAATTATTCTGGACTGAGTCCGGGTTGGCCCAAGAATAAGAATAAAGGCTCAATCCAAACGGCTTTGCAGGGAGCGCGCCGACCAAGAAGCTACAGCCGTGCCCGCCACTGCCCGCGAACGCAACATCCTCGACCTCATACAGTCCAACTCGAGTCCAGCTCGAGCACCCCCCTCGTAGGGCAGACTATTACCGTTACACCCTCACCTGAACTCCAAAAAGACCGCGTCCTCGTCCGTTCATACTTCTCGCAGAGCACCCAGGAAGGAGACCACGTGCGGGTCCCCACTACACACGTAGAACCTGGCAGTTCCTTTATTGGGTCAATCCTGGTCGGCCCAATGAAGGGACCTTAGCCCAGCGCTGGGGGCTATAAATACCCTCTTGTGATCGGTGGATCTGGAACTGACTGTTTAACGCTGGTTCGCGAAATGTCGCGGAAGCAAGAGTCGCCACCGTCTTTTATTTTCTCCAAATGGAAAGGACAAAAGCACAGAAAAATTCCTTAAAGAGATTGCTCTCGGTTCGGGAGGTAGGTTATAGAAAGGGAAGGTGTTAGCACCCTTTCTATCCATGGTTATCCATGGGCTCTTAGATACTTGCTCAATGTGTTTTCAAAATTGTTTGCTTGCTTTTCAATGTGGGTTTAAAAAAGTTTCTTTGAAAAATTTCAGTTCGACTCATACGTCAGAGTGTTTGAAAAATTTGCTTTGAAAGCTTTTGAAAAGTGTCAGTGTGAAAAGAGTTTTGTTTTGTTTTTTAGATTAGAGCAAGTATCCTTGAGAACCTACCTACCCTAAGGAATTCGTCTGTGTAGATGTCCTTAAAAGTAGTGCCATCCCACCATTGAGAGGTAGGTAGCACCACCGTTGGAGGTATTCGGGTCAATTCGATTTTTAGGGACATGGTGATCACCAGAGCAATGGGAAGACACCTTAGAAGCTACCCTCATGCCAGGTTCCCGGATCATGAGGACTTACTAAGACGTCCTCTACTCGACGACCACCTTTCGAGGCAAGGCAACAGTGAGGCGTACCCTAGGGGTGGTGTG